TCCATGCCTCCTGGAACCGGAGAAGTCGTCCTCCTACTAATCCGACTTCTCCCCGTCGTTTCCCTGGTCTGGTTGCTTCCTGCCTTGACCGCCACCAGACTTGTACCGAGACTTGCCGTCAGACTTGCCTCCGTCCGACTTGTAACCCGACTTGTAACCCGACTTGCCGTTGTCGGATTTGTATCCTGACTTATCCTTGGATTGCGACTTGCCCGACTGTTGATCCTTGGGTTTGTCGCCTGTTCCAGATTTGTCCTTGGTAAATTTGTTGTCAGGCTTCTTGGTCCTGTCCTTGGGAGGTTCGTATTTCTTGTATGTCTTTCGAACCAGATCAGCGGCTGCCTTTTTGGCAGCCAGTGATTCCAAAGTGAAAAGAGATTCCTCCTTGTCGTTGCCATGCTTGATGCCGAGTTCGTCGAGGTAAAGGTTTTCTCGCATCCGACTGATCCTGGAAGCGTCGTGGGATGTGGAGATGCGTACCGTGTTGAGGAAACTGAGTATATGTTCCATGTCGACTTTTCCCGAGTTGACAATCTCATGGGCGCAAGTGTCGTAGAACCGGGTCGTGTGCGCCAGATATCCTTGGATTGTTGCCAAATCTCGCTCGTGTCGCTTGGCTGTGTCCGCGAGTGACACCTCGGAGTGCTGCAAAACCGGGGGAGGCTTGTAATCCATACCCTCGGTATAATGGAAGTCGTTCCATTCGAAAACATCGTGGTTCTTGGGGAGTTCGGAATCGAAGAATTTGGGTTCCGCAATGGCTGGATAGACGTCAATGAGTTCTTGATAGAGCTTGAGAGTGGTCGCTCGAGGCTTGTGGACCACTTTGCCATCCTGCTCGATAGATTCGGTTTCCAGTTGCTGAATCCTGGCTTGCTGTTGTTGCAAAAGGTTTTGTTGTTGTTGCATGAAGGCTTGCTGTTGCTGCATCTGCTCCTGCTGTTGTTGCATTTGCTCCTGCATAAGGCGAAGGGTCGTGTGAATGTCGATGTCGACATCAGGGGCCGTAGGATTGGGTGCATGGGACATGGGGGGAGGATCGTTCAGAGATTCGGGGAGAGTGTTCCGGCCGTGAAAAAGAAAGATAGAGATCAAGAGATAGCCTAGAGTCCCCTTTGTTTATTTCATTTTCATTTTCATTTTCATTTTCATTTTCATTTTCATTTTCATTTTCAAATTTTTTCGGAAGTCACGGTCAATAATAAAAGAAAGATACACACACATCTAGAGTCCCTGGCAAGGAAGAATAATGCGGTGTAAACGTGATCCAGCTTGGGGTCATCAGGTGCTGCGAAGAAGTCGTTTCCTGATAACGAAGGGACAAGTTGAAGGAGTTCGTGCGTGACGACCAGTTGTTGAATCCTGGGCGGATCAATGGTTGTTGGAGGGTGGATAGGTGATGAATTGTCATATAAAGAGTGGGTGGCCTCCTCGGAAGCCATATCGTGAGAGGGGTGGGTGAAATCATTGTCGGTGTGAATGTCGCTCATGGGATACGCCTGCTACGGATGTGTTCCTGTGAGCGACGAAAAAAGAAGAGAAGGAACATTTTGTACCGAGGGATCCAGGGCTTTTATTATTTTTAGTTAGTTTTCGTCGGTTAAAAAGGAATAAAAGAAGTCACATATGGACATGGCACCGTAGACAATGGTCCATTTGTTTTGATCGAGAAAGAAACGTGTGAGAAAACAACGGACAAGTAGAGAAACCCAGCATTGTTAAGTGCTTGGGTGCATCAAGGCCGACCCTTCAACCTGAAGGAAAAGCCACAGTTTCTCGAGACACACTGTTACAGGATCATAGTATGCACTAACATTGTACATACATACCTCAACCCTTTATTCCCTATTCCATTGTACCACCATTCCTCACCCACCATTCCTTACCCCTATCCACACGGAGATTATACACATAAATACCCTCTCTATCTGTACAACAAACACCATCCGTTTCTGCCTTCTGCTCTTGTCTGCTACCCTCCTTCTGTTGCTATTACACACACTCAGTGTTCATTTTGAAGAGACCATTTACTTCTATTCGGTTAAAAAATTTATCAGCCAGTGGTAGGGAGGCCTTTCAAGTCCAAATTATCATATGGTGTTTGTTACATCTCTGCAGATCTTGACGATATCCACCGCGTCCATTAGAGGAGAGTGTATGTATGATATCAACCATTTAAAACAACCACTGTAACATTCCTTGCGCGATTATCCTACTAAACATAACTACATTCTCCAAACAACAAAGTCTTCTTATTTTTCGCTCACCAATATCTTGAATGTGTTCATCTACTATTAAACTGTACCCATCACTGCAAGATTCGCCTGAGTAGTTCTTGTATGTGATCATCTAAAGCACTTGCACTCTCAACTGTATCTTTGTCGTGAAATACAGGGGAGAGATTACATTTTAAAAATTCTTGTGCTGTCTATTGCTATTTTATTCTGTGTTCTGTTGCCCACTATGAAGAGATATGCCAGTTATGGAAGTCAACACTCCGTTCCTTGGACTTTGGATATTTTTTATATGCCTTTTTATATCCTCTGCACATGAAGGGGCCGCTAGGTGATTATTAAAGCAGTCTGTTTTTAGACGAACATCTTGAGGATACGCTTCCAGCGAGGGCCGTGGGGCTTCAAGTCCTCCTTGTCAGACTCGGAGGGAATGAAGCGACCAGTGTCGAGATCGGCATCAACTGCCTTAATGAGCTTGGTACCGTAGATGTACTTGTAGGAGAAGAACAGGGTCGCAGACATGAACCAGGGGAACCAAGCACCCAGAATACCCTGGATATACACGTCGCGTCTGCTGCGGTACGCATTCATCAGCTCCTCCGAGGCACCAGCACCAGGGTGCTGAGGAGGGTTGATGACCGACAGGTACCAGTTGCAAACGATGCAGCAGCAGCCAATTAAGGCGCCAAGGATGTTGCCATAGGGGTAGCCCCAGGCGACATAGGGCAGATCGCTAATGGCGCGGCCCTGGGCCTTCCAGCAGTAGCGGAAGCGGAAGTGGAGGAGCAGGATATAGAGCCAGCCCTGGATGCTAATCGAACCAATGAACGAGATGAGCCACTGGAAGACGACACCGGAACCAACAAAGATGGTGATCAACGACAGGCAGGAGCAGGCAGTGACAACGGTGATGGCAACCACGGGTGCACCGCGTGAGTTGATGTAGCCGATCGAGTTGTGGGTCCAGCCGTTACGGGAGAGTGATAGCAACACGCGAGTGGAAACATAGAAGGCAGAGTTGATGGCCGAGAAGACCGAGGTGAAGACGACGACGTTCATGTAGTTGGCAGCACCACTGATACCGACCTTGGCAAGAACGATGGTGAAGGGAGCCCGGGTAGCGGAACTCTCGGTGTTGACCAACAGGGGATCGTCGTTGGCAACAATGGATCCGAGCAAGAAGATCGAAGCGATGTAGAAGAAGGCGATGCGAATCAACACGGTGTTGATGGCCCTGGGGACGTGCTTGTGCGGGTTACGGGACTCGGCAGCGGTGAGACCGGTTATCTCAGCTCCACCATAGGCATAACCGACCGTGATCAGGGTGGTGGTGAAGCCCACAAAGCCGCCCTTGAAGGGAGCACCCTCGATCCTCCACTTCTCGAATCCGTAGGTGTGGCCACCAATAGCACCAGCATCGACAAGGATACCGCAGACGATAAAGATGATGATGGTGACAATCTTGAGAATCGAGAACCAGTACTCAAGCTCACCATAGGTCTTAACACCAGTAATGTTGATAAAGACCATCAAGATGATAATGATCAGAGGCACAATCCATAAAGGGAACGTCGTGTCGTCGGGCAACCAGAACGACACAATCAGCGCGGAAGCGGACAAATGTGCGGGAATCGTCAATGCCCAGTTGAGAAAATACATCCAAGTCATCTGGAAGGAGAAGGCCTCGTCAAAAACACGGCTACTCCAGACGTTGAAGGCACCAGGAAGAGGAAGGAGGGTGGCGATCTCACCGATGGCCTGCATGACAAAGATGAGCCAGATACCGATGAGGGCATAGGCAAGAAGGGCACCGCCGGGACCAGCAGTAGCAATGGTCGAACCAGAAGTGAGGAAGAGACCGGTACCGATAGTACCAGTGATGGCGATCATGATCATATGGCGGCGCCGAAGGTCGCGCTTGAGACCGTCTTGGGACGCATCCATCAGGAGGACGCTCTGGCTGCCATTGCTGCGGTCCTGCATCTGGTTGAGCTCGTACGTATCGGAATCATCATACCCGTCGTCGTTGTACTTTGACATTTTTCGTTGCTGCTGGTGTTGAGGTTGAGTTGGATGAGTGAGAGTGATAAGGTTGTTGGTGTGAGAGATGAAGGATGATGTTGAACAAAGAGAGAGAAGGTTGTAAAGAGGAAGAGAAGTGGAGAGAGAGAGAGAGAGAGAGAGCTCGAAGAAAAGGAAATCTGCCCTGACCGCAAGTCTCGGTCCTGGGGTCCTTTCTTGTACAGTCACTCAAATACTTGAAACTGGGTTCACTATTCTATCTTGTGTTGCTGACCTTTGATTGGTGTTTTGTTTGAGCGCTTGTCTGTGCACATGTGATTACATGGATCTGTTTGGTTTTTTGTGAGCGTCTGCATTTGTAGATGCGTGCCCAGGCCTTGCCCCCATGTGTAACGTGAATTTGAGTTACTGATCGTTGGTCGTTAGTCTGTGCGAAGGTGTAACAAGACGGGAGGTAGGTAACTTGACAAGAGGGACGCAGGAACGAGTAAACGAGGGAACGAGGGACGATTTCTTTAGACGTGTTTTTTTAATAAAGACTGAAGTTAATGACTGAAGACTAAACTAGGTTATACGTTTTGGGAACCAAGTTAGCACCTTGGTTCATCTAGATAGTTCGAGAGAGTGTCTGATTAGTCAGTTAAGAATGATCTAGAAAGTTGGCGGCGTTTCTGGATCATGGTCACGTGACATAATCAGAGTGGAACTCTGACAGGAGGTCTTGGCATTCAAAAACTCTTTCCCATGTCCCACGGCGATACAAACGTGAGGGGCGAGACCCACCAAAACAGCATTAGAGCGACATCCTTTGCGGATGTCGTCAGATCATCACCCTCAACACCTTCTCCTAACTCTCCTTTACCTGACTATCCCAAAAAATGCGAGACTATTTTTCAAGATGAGTCTTTGCCGCCAGGAATGAACCTGCATGTCCGCACAAACTCGAAAGGCACGCTCATGTTCAACATTCCCCGCAAGGTGACTGCCGAGTTTTCGATCAGCAGGATCCTCATGGACACCTACGACCTCACTGAGCAATACCAAAACCACACAACCTTCGAGGTCCTCCCCGCAGACCCCATGGTCTATGCCGTTATTCTACAGCACGGACTGAGTGTCAACGACACGACCTACAACCCCATCACCCCAACACCTCCCAAGTTCCAAACATACAAGGTCAACTTCCGGCGCATCCCCCAGCACTATAAACCGACCGACATTATCCAGCTTTTCAGCAAATACGGCAACCCCAAGGAAATCGGGCATGTACTACCATGCGCACCCCAAGCGCAAGGTCTATACTCAGGATGGATATGTTTTGTTCGAAAAGGACGAAAAGCCAAGCCACCCAGAATTGCCAAAGGAAATTGTTGCTGGACTAGGAGCAGGTTTCAGACAGCAACGCAAGCGCAACAGCAAGAAACGCCGCAAGAATACGCAGATTTCATCTTCCATGAAAGGTATAGAGTCCACCTCACTTGCCGCAATCACTGCGCCTGTCAACCCCGCCACACCAGTCACACCAACCTTGCAGGAGTCTACTCAGGAAGCTAGACCACCCCAAACCAGGAATGGTACAAGCAGTGTCACCAACCCTAACAATGGGTCTTACCGCTCTCTGGATGACGACAACTCCGACAGCGACGACGACATTTTTTCGGATGCCCCCCAAACCCCAACCACCGAATTTACTAGTCGTCACCCGCGGGCAGTCCATTTTGGAGGCACCTACAACACTAGTGAGCTGAGCAAGCAATCGGCGACTCGTCCTAACTAATTAATTATGTTAAAGACAATCAAAATCGCCACTCTCAACGCACGCACGATTAACAAGATCACGAACCGGACAGCGTCAAGGAATTTTCACAAATACCTCAGCACTCAAAGGATCGACATCTTGGCGTTGCAAGAGACATGTATCCAGCCAAACGACCCCGACACCATCCAACACCTCGACAAATCCCTACACTCTCACCACAGCATCTGGACTCCTCATTGCGCACTGCTGCTTATGCACTCCAAACTTACTTTTCTTTCGTCCTACGTCTTTAGAGACGGCCGGGCAATCGTCGCGTCAATCGGCTCAGGAGGCCTTTCAAGTCCAAATTATCATATGGTGTTTGTTACATCTCTGCAGATCTTGACGATATCCACCGCGTCCATTAGAGGAGAGTGTATGTATGATATCAACCATTTAAAACAACCACTGTAACATTCCTTGCGCGATTATCCTACTAAACACAACTACATTCTCCAAACAACAAAGTCTTCTTATTTTTCGCACACCAAACTCTTGAATATGTCCATCTACTATTAAACTGTAACCCTCACTGCAAGATTCGACAGAGTAGTTCTTGTATGTGATCATCTAAAGCACTTGTATTCTCAACTGTATCTTTGTCGTGAAATACAGGGGAGAGATTACATTTTAAAAATTCTTGTGCTGTCTATTGCTATTTTATTCTGTGTTCTGTTGCCCACTATGAAGAGATATGCCAGTTATGGAAGTCAACACTCCGTTCCTTGGACTTTGGATATTTTTTATATGCCTTTTTATATCCTCTGCACATGAAGGGGCCGCTACCGAATAAAATATAAAAATATATTTGTATTCTCAACTATGTGCTTGCTGTATGATAGATACCATCCTACATGCTGTTGTGTATACAGTTAAGTATAAGCCTTTTTAAAAAATTGTTATTGTTGGTTAACGTCATGACAATCCAATACATAAATATTATTATGGATCTAACAAAACACTTCCAACAACTGCTTGATGACCATTGGACTTTCCTTGACGCTGGATGGCCAACAATTACACCACGTAATAATCATCGTACTGTAAGCAAGGAAATTGGGTATATGCCAGAAATAAAAGAAACCCTAAATCGACGCCTTGGTCCTATTCCAGTGTACTTCTTTCTTGTTGACATCTGGCCAAAGGTTAAGTATCCTGGTCCATACAAAGAAGTGGAGAAAGGTCTTTTAATGCTCTATCATCTTGTCAAAGGACTGTCTATGGAAGCAATGGAACCACACATGCCAAAAAGTAGTTTTCATGCAATGCACTCTGTGTTTTATAAGAAAGAATATACTTTGCACAACAAGTACATCACCAACTGTATTGCAACAATGTTCTCCACAATTAAAATACGCCTTTTGTCTGCAAAGGAAAAGAATCCTCCATTATTTAAGCATGTTACATTGCATCTTGATGGTCATGATACAAGAGCAACATACAAAGGTGAGAGTAGTGCTGATATGTACTCTTACAAGCTGAAAAAGTCAGGATTACGCACACAGGTAGCAATGGATTGTAATGGCATGGCTTTATTTGTCTCCAAATCTGCATCTTGCAAGAACAATGCTGATGGAACAATGCTGCTAACGATGAAGTTGGACAAGAGAGTGCATGAGATGGATTGCATTGCTCTCGATGGAGGGTATCCACAGTTCTTAAGGAGGCTTATAGATGAGTCTGATATTCTTAGAGTCCAAAATTTCGCTCATCCATACCGTAAACAGAAGAACAAGGAACTTACACAGGAAGAAGCGTTATACAATACCACCTTTGGTAGTTTCCGCTCGCAGATGGAATCTCTGTTTGCAGACCTTGGTTCCACATTTGAGAAACACAACAACCGTACTCCTGTGTTGGTGGATAAGAAACAAACATATAATTTGCAGTTGAAGTTATCTTTGTTACTCTTAAACATGAAAAAGATGGTTGCTTTGTTGAAGATTTCTGCAGAACCAATTCATACAGCTTGGCTTCGCGAAGGATTCGAGTATCCGACAACAGAGAACGACGTTGAGCAACCAATGGGATATGTTGATGTTGGTGCGCTAGTGGAGGATGGAAATACAATGGCACAACTCCAGAACAAATTTCTTGGTATTAATCTTCATGGTGATGTTGATGTTAATGTTGATGAGGACACACCAATGGATCAAGCAGTAATAATGCAACCCGGTCTTTCCATTGAGCTTAGAGGTACGAAGCGACAAATGGATGTTAATGGTAATTTGTAGACTTATTGCAGGTTTTTAAAAGAATAGACATACATAGCCTATTTAGTCAGCGTTGAGATACGGTATTAACTGCCTAGACGCTAATATGCACCGGTATCTATTATTAAAAGTCATGGTATTATTGTAGTAGATCGGATGCTATTCTATGCTATTCTACAACATTCCTTTTTATTTAACAAAGAGGATAAACACATGTACAAACCTACGTCATAAAAGAATACATAAACACATGTACAAACCTACGTCATAAAAGAATACTACATTCTTAACCATTTTTAAACCCCGTCTTTAACGCCAAGCAGTCTTAATAAGCAAGATCTACGTCATACGAGGAACACTACGTTATTAACCACTTAGATGCCTTTTTAAAACTCTTTTGTTACTAAGCGCCAAGCAGTGTTAATAAGCAAGCGCTATTAATATCCAGTGTGGCAGTGTCCCATGAATTAGTATAAATAAAGGACTCCACTTCCCTCTTGCTTAATCTTTATCTTATCTAGTAACCAACCAACCATTATCCATATCTATACAACCATCCATACCTATACATCCATCTTTTATTGCAATTCTTTATATCAGTGTACTAAGCAGCTGCAATCTACCACACATAAACTGAAAAGTCATTCACACCCACCATACCACAAGTACAATCTATATCGTTCATATCCAAAAACATGAAGTACGTTCAGCTTACAATCGAGCTCATCACCAAGGCCTTCGAGACATTTTCTTCTAAGAAGGGAGTGGAGTTTACCAAGAAAGATGCAAATAAGATCTTTAAGGCGCTTGATGAGGATGAGGGAGTAGAGAGATACTACTTTTGTGGTGCAAAGTGCACCAAGTCCAAGCGCAAATGCATGAAGGAAGTTGATGATGAAGGCATGCATTGTTATGTCCACGATCCTGCGCGCAAGTGTCAAGGCACAACCATTAAGGGCGCTAATTGTGGTAGTGTAGCCAAACTTGGTGAAACTTACTGTGGACGTCATCGAGAGCAGCATAAAGGTCATATGAAAAGCAGTAACAATAAGGCACCTGCCAACAAGCGTACCAAGTCTTCCAAGATAACCAAGAAGACACATACTCCTGAGTTTGTCCCTTCAGATGATGATATGACTTCCGAGGATGAAGAACCAAAGAAGCGAAAGAGAAACAAGCAGGAGTCATCGGATGAGGAGCCGTCCGATGATGATGAAGAAGATATAATTGCCGTCTCCTTTCCGTTGAGTCCAAAGGTAGTTGACATAACGTCCAAGAAAAATGTACCACTCGCTAATACAGGCATATGGATGCGTTATGCAACTAATCCAGCTTTCCTGTATGCAAAAAACTATACTGTAAATGGCAAGTACATTATTAAGCTGAAGGAAAAGGACCTCTACATTGTATTGTGTCCACCTGAGCTCATGGGGAAAAATCTTCCTGTACCGAAATTATCTGACAAAGAGGTACGTATATTACAAAAGATGGGACTCCAAGAGGCAACTCCTGCTGATGTAGAAAAAATAGAAGAGTCTTCTGCTGATGAGAATTCTGACGATGATACAGATGATGGTGATACGTCTGATGATGCTGGCTCTGACGATGATTCCCCTGATGATAAAGACTCTGATGATGGCAAGTCCAATAACAGACCTGATGTAGAATCTGGAGATGATACCTCTAAGGATAACCCTGATGAAAAACTATCTCATAAAAAGTCATCTAAGGATGATGAGAAGAAGACTTCTCGAAAGAAAAGGCATTCAGAGATGCCCAAAAATGCAGAGCCATCTTCTAATGTAGACGTTTCTAAGGATGGAAAAGATGAACATACATTTGCACTGGCCACAACGGTGCATAACATTAGATCAGAGAAAGACATAGCACGTGCGAAGGACAGAGGATGGATGATTCATCCTAATAACGACATGCTTGAGTATGCAACTAAGTTTACGATGAATGGCAAGTACATTGTCAGGCTATCTGGAAAGAATACATACGTTGGCCTGTTTACGCTTGATGCTCTGCGCGGTGTCGGTGATGTTCCAGAGTTGGATATCTTGGAACGCTCCATGCTTAGCAAGATGAAACTTCAACCATTGTCTGATGAAGAGAGAAAGACGCTTTTCAACGAGGAGATCGAAGTAGAAGAAGAAGTACCAGTAGAAGGACCAACAGATAAATCCAAGGTGATATGGAAAAAACTTAACAAGTACTTGGAATATTCCGAGAATGTACTTGTAAATGGAATGCACATTCTCAAGATGCGCAAAAAAGACACTGTAATCGGCTTGATGACTGATGACCATATTGCTGCAGAGAATGTAGAGTGTCATTCTCTTAGCCAGAAGGAAAAAGAGAAGTTGTTTGCTATGGGATTTAAACCGCATGAGCATAAGCAAAGCTTGCCACAGAAAGATGAGAGCACATGTGAGGATGATAAAGATGCTGAGGGCGATAAAGATGCTGAGGATGACAAAGATGCGGTGGGTGATAAAGATGCTGAAGATGACAAAGATGCTGAGGGTGATAACGATGCTGAGGATGACAAAGATGCTGAGGGTGATAACGATGCTGAAGATGATAAAGATGCTGAGGATGATAAAGATGCTGAGGATGTTATGTGGAAAAGGTACCCTAAAGATAAAAGCTCCTCGGGTATAATCGTCATAGATAAAGACGAAATTAAATGGACAACATGTTCGTTTGACAAGAAGCATGAATATGCAACCAACTACCTTTTCGACGGATGTCATCTGCTCAAGAGGTACGAAGAGGACATTATTGTTGGACTGCTGTATAAGATACCTGCAAACGGTGACAGTAACTATAGTCGAGACAAATTTACCAACAACAAACAAAAGCAGAAGTTAATTGCCATGGGGTTCACGATCGAGGAATTGCCTAAATTGTACTCTCCAGATGTAAAGTTTTGGTAGTTGTTGAGACAGATGAAGAGTAGATATTTTAAAAACTATCCAATTGTCAACAGTTGGCATTTGTGGTTGTATATATAGCATGAACTTTTTAAAAATGTAACATGTCTTCGACACTTCCACCTAGGAGGCCTTTCAAGTCCAAATTATCATATGGTGTTTGTTACATCTCTGCAGATCTTGACGATATCCACCGCGTCCATTAGAGGAGAGTGTATGTATGATATCAACCATTTAAAACAACCACTGTAACATTCCTTGCGCGATTATCCTACTAAACACAACTACATTCTCCAAACAACAAAGTCTTCTTATTTTTCGCACACCAAACTCTTGAATATGTCCATCTACTATTAAACTGTAACCCTCACTGCAAGATTCGACAGAGTAGTTCTTGTATGTGATCATCTAAAGCACTTGTATTCTCAACTGTATCTTTGTCGTGAAATACAGGGGAGAGATTACATTTTAAAAATTCTTGTGCTGTCTATTGCTATTTTATTCTGTGTTCTGTTGCCCACTATGAAGAGATATGCCAGTTATGGAAGTCAACACTCCGTTCCTTGGACTTTGGATATTTTTTATATGCCTTTTTATATCCTCTGCACATGAAGGGGCCGCTCAGTCGACACCGGGGATAAAGTTTTGTTTGAAGTATGTACCATCTATGCACATCTGGAGACCAGGCACCACGCAACACCTACACCAAGCTCCTTCAACTCCCTTTTTTCCAAGCTCCCGGCAACGATGTCATTGTTCTGGGGGACTTCAACTATCACCACCATTTACGCAACACGGCCCCGATCGCATGGAAAGACTGGATCAACAACACCATCAACGCACTTAACCCCTTCAACTCACTCCCCATTCGCACTTTCAACAATGACCATTATCAATCAACAATTGCCTACATATTCATGTCACCCGACCTTGCCGAATGTGTGACGGCCCCCTCACACGTATCTGCACAACGACTGGACAGACCATACGATGTTTTCATGCGAGCTGAGTCTGGAGGCACTTGCTACTGGATCAGGAGTCTGGCGACTGAACACTTCGATTTTACACGATAAGGACTACACCAAGCAACTGGCCGCCGAGATCAAGGAGGACATACTCAGAATGCGGAACCTTGAACCGCAGGATGCGTGGGACCACCTTAAGGCGTCCTTGATGGAGAAACTCAAGCAGGCGACGAGAGAGAAGTCCAAGAAGAAGCAGGATATCTCGATCAAGCTTCAACGGGACCGGGAACAGGCCCTACGGCGCCTCAATTGGCAACGCGGTGCACCCACCCCGAACCCGGAGAAGGTCCGCAAGCTGGAGGAAGAATGGCACGGCACTGAGCGGAGACTCGACAAACTACAGAAGGCCTCGATGAACGCATGGGCGGTCAGAACTCAACTCAAATGGCGAGAACTCGGCGAACGGTTGCAACTTTAGGAGGAGTGGAAGTAAGAGATGTGGATGTATTATGGTAGTGTGTGTCTATTTATCTAAAGCTACTCTGATCGGAGGTTCAACTGTTGCACCTTCCCCTTTTAAAAAACGATCCCCTGGTCCTTTTTGAACGCGTCAACTAGGTCGCGGCAGTTCTCCAGGTTGGCGACGGGCTCCCACGTTTGGTCCTCCCGTCCGTACCCTTTCCATGACACAAGGAACTGGTGTTGCCGTCGGTATTTCCTGTAACGCAAAATGGACTCGACCTCGTATTCTTCATTGCCCTCGATGACAACTGGTGGTGGTGGTGCTAATGTTCGGCGGCCAAATGCAAGTGGTGACTCGATGTGATGGCGGAAGAGGTCGACGTGGAAGACATTGTGGATGTTGTAGGAGGGCGGTAGGTCGACTAGAAAAGTGACTGGTGATCGCTGCTCCAGCAATGTAAAGGGTCCGATGAAGCGAGGTTTGAGTTTATCCGAGCTGAGTCCACTGTCGGCTGGCATGGTGATGTTCTCTGCACTAAGGAGGATCTTGTCGCCGACCTTGTAGTCGTGGTCGCGTCTTCTCTTGTCGGCCTGTTCCTTCTGATGATCCTGGGCTCGTTGTAGTGCGTCTTGTGCGAAAAGTAGTGCTGTCGACTGTTGATCAAGATAGTTGTGAACGCTGGGTACGTTGCTGTCGGTGTGGGAGAGGAGACTGGCGGGGATGCGGGGATGTTGGCCGGTGTTGAGGAAAAAAGGTGAATAGCCGGTCGAGTGGTTGACGGAGTTATTATATGCAAATTCCGCGGCTGGAAGGAGGGTATCCCAGTTGGTCTGTTTTTCGTCGATGAAAGCGCGTAGCATAACTCCTAGTGTCTTGTTCATGACCTCCGTCTGTCCGTCCGTTTGTGGGTGATAGGCTGTTGACATTGCAAGCTTGACATCCATGAGTCGATGAAGTTCCTGCCAAAAGTGACTGGTGAATTTGCTGTCGCGATCCGAGACGATTGTCGTTGGCATTCCATGATGGCGGAAGACATTGTCGAAAAACTGGCGAGCAACGTCGGTGGCGGTAGCGGTGGTGGTGCTGGGAACGAAGTGGACATGCTTCGATAATTTATCGACAAAGACGGTAATGGCATCATGGTTGCGGGGTGTCTTGGGTAGGTGGGTCATAAAGTCCATGGTCACAACCTCCCAGCGACTGGCGGGGATGGGGAGAGGTTGGAGGAGTCCTGCAGGTCGCTCCTGACTTGGCTTATTGCGTTGACACTTCTCGCATGAGTCGACGTAGAGTTGAGTCTCCTTGGCCATGTTGGGCCAGTATGCCATCCGTCGCAGTTTGTCGTATGTCTTCCTGAACCCGAAGTGACCAGCTATGGGGGTATCGTGGCAGTCATGTAAAAGAGAGCGGCAAATGTCAGCTTTCTGTGGTATGGCAAGGACGGTGGTACCACGGCGATCATAGTAGAGAAGACCATTATGAAAAGAGTAACCAGAGGGGGCACTTCCCTCGAGGCAGCTTTTGTAGACGAGACTGAGCCTGGGGCTGCTCTGGTAGTCTTCTATCAGGCGCTGCCTCACACCTGGTTCAAGTTGGATATCGATTGAATGGATCTCGACTGTGTCTGTTGTTGGGCTGACAGGATCTTCTGCACGATGGTCGGGTCGGCGAGATAGGGCGTCGGGTACTGTGTTGTCGGCTCCGCGCTTGTACTTGAAGTCGAAGTCATATTCCTGCAGTAGCTCCATCCATCGGGCCTGGCGGCGGGTGAGTTTTGGTTGTGTCGGAAAATGGCGGAGGGTTGCATGATCCGTGTACACGACAAAGTGGGATCCATCCAGGTAGTATCGCCACGTCCTGAGGGCATGCACAACTGCCAGTAGCTCCTGCTCATGGGTTGGGTAGTTTCTCTCTGCCGGTTGAAGTTTCCGTGAAGTGAAAGCAACGGGTCGGGATACTCCTGATGCGTCCGTCTGAAAGAGAACAGCGCCGATAGCAAATCCGGATGCGTCGGTCTCGACGGTTGTTAGCAAGTCGGGATCGAATATGCGTAGGACCGGGGCAGAGCTGATGGCGGTTTTAAGGGAGAGAAATGCCTGTTCCTTGTCATTATCCCATGAAAAAGTTGCGCCGCCTGCTAGAAGCTGAGAGAGCGGAAGGGCGATCTGGGCGAACTTGTCGATGTAAGTCTGGTAGAATTGTGCCAAGCCCAGGAACTGTTGGACGTCTTTGATGCTGGTGGGGCGTGGCCATTCCCGAATGGCTTTGACAAGTCCTGCTGAAGTTGAGATCCCGTCCTTGGAGATGGTGTGTCCAAGAAATTCGGTTTCCTCCTGCATAAACGAACACTTGCTGAGTTTGGCGTAAAGTCCATGTTGTCGAAGGAGGGCGAGGACGCTGCGAAGGTGCTTTAGATGCTCGGCCTTAGTTTTAGAGTAGATAAGAATATCGTCTAGATAGACAACAACCCATTTATCCAAAACCGGGTCGAGTACCCTTAGCATCATGTTGGAGAAGGAGGCGGGTGCGTTGGTGAGGCCAAATGGGACGACGTTAAATTCAAAGTGTCCATATCTGCATCGGAATGCTGTTTTGTGTGTGTGTGGTTCGTAGATCCTCTGTTGGTGGTATCCTGAGAGTAGATCCAGTTTACTGAAATAACGTGCGCCACGAAAACGGTCAATTAGCTCGTCGATCCTGGGGAGTGGATGCCGATTTTTCTTGGTGATCCCGTTCAAAGCTCGGTAGTCCACGCACATACGCAGGGTGCCATCCTTTTTCCGAACGAAAAGTACTGGAGCGCCGTAAGGTGATGTACTGGGCTTGATGAATTTTTTGGCGAGTAATTCATCCAGCTGCTTCCTGAGTTCGTCGAGTTCTGCAATGGAGAGGCGAATGACTGGCTTGAATGGTGGGTCTGCTGTGGGGTCTGTCTCGATTTTCATCGCATCGCCTCTGTCTGGTGGGAGGCCGCTGGGAAGTGTGTCGGGGAATACGTCCTTAAACTCATCTTCGACGATTGACCTGATCTCAGGTGTCATAAGAGGGCGCTTGGGTGGCGATGGTGAGTCCTTGTCATTCCTGTCCTTGTCCTTCTGCAGATCCTTCGAGGACTTGACCAGAGCCAAGAATATGTCCGAGCCGGGGAGGGTAGCCATGGTATGAAAGTGTAGGTGGGAGAGGAGGAGACCTTTGGTGCGGGTTTGGATGCTGTTTGATTTAAATCCTGTGCAGTCCCATTTGATGGATGTGTTGTTGTGGGTGAAGTGTAGAGCATTTGTACGCCAGTTGATTTGAGGGTTGATGTGTGTGAGCCATGGTTTTCCCAGAATCAGGTCGTATTTCTTGAGTGGGTAGAGAATGGGGTCGAGAGTGTCGGAGTAGCCGTTGCGTTCGATGGTGATGTTGACAGTATGGTTGGTGATGGAGGATGAGCCGTCGGGAAGGAGGACAGGAATGGGGTTGATGACGGTTCGTGACAAATTGTTTTTCTTTTGAAATGAGGTACTGATCACGTTACCTTCAGCACCGCCATCAATCAGCACGCGAGCCGGAAAGCCGCTGACAAGGCAATTAAAAGTGAGCAGTTGGCGCTCAGCCTCGGCGATAGAAAATGAACAGAGACGCAATTGCTTTTGTCTCCGTCTTCTCAACTGTCGCTTCGTAGGCGGTGTGGTCGACACAACAGGGGCGGTCAGGTCCAGGTCTGGGCCATCTGAAGTTCTAGACACAATATGGGACGAGTCAAAGGTTGGGGTCTGGTCCAGTGAAGGTGCCAGGGTGGGGGGGGAGTGAGCATCACGAATTGAGTTTGAAATCTGAGTTTGGCTAGAAGTACTTTCAACTGATAGATCTGGCGACTTTTTTATTTTTTCTTTTGAACTTAACTCTGGTGTGTGAGCACTCCCTTCACCGCTGGGGTAAAAGGAGGGGGTTTCAGCAACTGGGTCCTGGACTGCACCTAGTTGCTGGGGGCATTTCCCGACTGGTCTGTTGGGGGGTTGCCCACGTAAGCAATGTTGTTGACGGCCTGGGACCTGGGAGGTCGGGGCGTATTGCGGTTTTTCCCACAGTCCCAGGAGTAATGTCCGGCATTGGGTCGGCGGCACTTGAAACAGCCGTTGTTGTTCTCCAAGTATAGTCTTTCTTCATCGGTGAGGCGGGCAAGGCGCGGGCGGTTTTGTTGCTGTTGCTGGTTGTTGAACTGAGATGCCATAGCGTTGACAGCGATAGTGAGGGACTGGACCGAGGACATGAGTGCGCGGGTGGTGGGGTCGACACTGATGTTATCAATCTACATCGCCATTGGGTCGAAGGCGGGGGCGGAGGTTGGGGCTGAGTTGGAGGTCGGGGTTTGTGAGCGGATGTTATTCATAGCCTTGGCGAACATACCCTTGGTGGCGCCTCTGGGTCCGAAAGCATAGATGGTGTCAAATCCTTCAGCCTTGGAGCACATGTCGAAAAAAGTGTTGTTGGGGTTAGATACCTGATCAGTCTGAAGTAATTGCCTCAGGTCGTCGGGGCAGCCTTGGAGAAAAACAACTCTGACGGTGGATTCAAGGAAGACGCGGCCGGTGGGATCCTCCGCAAGTAAAATGTTCATGTAGAGGCGGATGCGGGTAAGGTACTCGGCGAGGTTGGTGGTGAGCTTGGCATTGAGGAGGAGGCCGCGGACGTGTTCAAGGAAGCCGTCAGGCATATATGCCTTCTTGAACAAGGTTGTGAAGGTGAGGTACTCGCAGGTGTCGTCGATGTTAAGGGATTCCCACCAGAGGAGAGAGGTTTGGTTAAGGAGGTTGACGGCATGAATGGTGCGTTTTCTGTCAGGTACGTTCTTCATGGTGAAGTAGCGTTGCACCTCCTTTAGCCACGCAAGGCATTTGAAGCCATCGCGAGTGCCGTCATACTTGGCGGGTTTGGAGGTGGTGTCGAGTTCAATGATGGTGGGAAGGGATTGGTTGTCGTTGTTCATGATGGTGAGTTCCGATAAAAAATCTGTGATAAAATACGTGTCGATAGGGGGAAGACAGGGCGAGGGGATGGAAGAGGTGCTGGGTGAGGTGTCAGGGGAACTGGAGGGGTCTGGGGTTTGTACTGGGGGGTCTGGGGTCTGGTCAGTGGATTCGTGAACCTTTGCTACCATGCAACTTTAGGAGGAGTGGAAGTAAGAGATGTGGATGTATTATGGTAGTGTGTGTCTATTTATCTAAAGCTACTCTGATCGGAGGTTCAACTGTTGCAACGGTGCACCAAATATTTCCTCCGCGTCCTTAAATCCAGAGCAACCAAACGCACCATCACCCACCTCAAAATACCCGACTCAGACGACACAGTCTCTTCTCCCGACGATCTGTGCCGCATCGGCAAATCCTTCTATCAAAAACTATACACACCTGACCCCATCGACAATGCCGCCGTCCAGGAACTACTCTCCAACCTTCCCGCTCTTGCAGCCCTCACACAGGAGGATCAGGATAGCCTCATGCGCCCTGTTGATGCCGAGGAAATTAAAGACGGCTTGGGTAGCAGCGTGTCGGAGTTTCACTCTGATAACTACAAATGCCATGTGCGACCTTCGAATTTAAGGCCAATAAAGATGCAAAAGGTGTTTCTTTCAACTCACAGTACCCTTTTATTTTCTAAAAAAAAAAGAGAAAAGAAAGAATCCACGTCCAAGTCTCTTGCAAGGGTGTTGCTTTCAACTCGAAGTTAAAAACAATCCTTGCTGAAATGGCATGTAGAACCAGGCAAATAAAAAATATGTAAGAAAGACAGAGAGAGGGGAAAACATCTTGGTGCCGCATGAAAAAAAAGATATTGTGATATTGGCATTTGAGAAAGAGAGGGAGATAGATAGAGAAACATCTTACTCCGACATAATTCTTGATGCCACCGTGCGGTTCCTATTTGAGATAAGAGAAGAGAAGCTCCCAGCAAGGCTAGTAAGATGCTTCTCCGCATCCTCACTGGAAGAGATGTCCAATCTATCGTTCCCGTGAAAGAGTCTCCGCAAGCTACGACAGGCCTTAGCTCCAGGTCCCTGGTCCTTGGGGTCCGGGTTGTCAACATCGCCCAGGTGCAAAAAAATTCCTTGGTTATGCTCCATTGATCGACTCCATAGGCAATGAAAAACTTTCGAAAGTGGGACTCCCCAAAGCCAAAGTGTGAAGACGGTCAGGGGTAGACTTTCTCAACGAATATTCGATATTCGAGATTCGATTCGATTCGATTCGATTTTTCGAGTTCGAATAGTGGTTCCATTCGATTCGAGTGCTATCGAATGCACCCTGTATTCGATTCGACTCGAGTTGTATTCGACTTAGCTCGACTCGACTCGACTCGAGTTGTATTCGACTCGACTCGACTCGACTCGAATTCGGTTCCATAAAAGGTATAGCGCATTTATGCACTTCAATTTTTCATATGCTGTTGCCCATTGAACTCCTTCCATTTACACCACCCCTGCCTTTTAGACCCACTGCCTTCCCTTGCTCCTGTGGGAAAAAGAAACAATGGATCTGCTCTACCACCCCACCCGCCAGCTTCTTATTCTTTCGTCCTTACCTTTCTTATAGCTTTTCATTCTTTCGTCCTTACCTTTCTTACAGCTTCTCATTCTTTCATCCTTACCTTTCTTACAGCTTTTCATTCTTTCGTCCTTACCTTTCTTGCCACTTCTTGATGCAAGATTCATCACCATCACTGCCAGACGAACATCATCTGATTCTCTTTTTTCGTGGTTGTCCTTGCACAAGCAAACAGTTGACACTTTACCCAGTCCATCTCCAACCTCCCTTTCCTATATACCTCATCGCCACATTACTTGCAACAACCTGTCGTCGCCTTCTTGTGAGATCATGTCGCAATTCTCTTCATCCAGTTTCGTTGATCATGTAATGTAAATTCAGGTGGATGAAGTTCATCAGTCACTTTTCTATGGCAAGATGCCAACCATGTTGGTTTTTATTTCATGTCTACATTAGATTCTTAACGATTTGGAACGTGATGCACAGAAAAGCTCTAGTGCCATCGCGGATCTTCAGAGTCCTGCCACCATCTCTACCATGGAGCTTCCCTCTCCCGCCCTCTCGGCAACGACCTCGAACAAGGGCAAAGCGGTAGACAGGAACGTGGACAAGAGTGCGGACAATAACTCAGATAAAAACACGGACAAGAGCGCGAACAAGAACAGTGCCAATAATGCAACCAAGGTCACAGACAAGGGCAGTTGAATATGGCGATGGGCCGAAAAGCGAACCGGACCCACAGGCATCGTCCGCATCCACTGTAAGTACAAGGGCTGTACAAACAAAACTGGCTGGTGTCAAGAAAGCAGACCAAGCAATAGAATGAAGTAGATAAAGAGAACCTTGATCAAGGACTAAGAAATGAGTATAAGGAATAGGTTAAAGAGTATGTTGTATTGGCGATACCAAGTAAAGAGCTATAGATTTGCTATCTAAGGCCCTTTTATACTCGTTAGGGCGAAGTCACAAGAGCAAGCTCTTGTCTCGTGACAACCTCCCCCTCTAGGGCCGAGTTCCAAGAGGCCTTTGGCTGGGTTTGTGAGGGTGTTGCAGATGGAACTCGCGAACAAGGTCCGGGGAATTCTTGACACAGGCGGCCGGTTCCCAGGTTCGTTCGGATACGGGGTAGCCTCTCCAATGTATATAGTATTCAAGGTGGTTGCGCCTGATCCGTGAATCCAAAATGGCCTCAACCTCGTACTCCTCATCGCCGGAGACGACAAGCGGAGGAGGTCGTTTTGAGGCTCGACCGGGGATCGTATCTGGATGCGCACGCTCAAGTAAGTTTACATGAAAGACAGGATGTAGCTTGGTCGTTGGTGGTAAATCGAGACGGAAGGATCGAGTGCCGATTTTTTCGAGAATACGGTAAGGGCCCATGCGCTTATGGTCGAGCTTCTTGCATGGTCTGTTCGTTTGGAGGTTCCGGGCGTCTAGCCATACAAGATCTCCTACTTGCAGATTGGGTTGTGGTTGGGCCTTGGTGTCGAAGTTCCTGGCATGCTGTTCAATGGCGGTGTGGATATTGAGTTGCATCTCCGCATAGAGGTTCTTTAGGGCCTGGACGCGTTCCTGGGCTGGGACATTGTCCTTCGAGACTCTTGGGATGGTGATGGTGAATTTCGGATGGTAGCCGAGGTTGGCAAAGAATGGTGTTGTTTTTGTTGTTGAGTGTGTTGCGTTGTTGTATGCAAATTCTGCTATCGGTAGAAGGGTGCTCCAGTCCGTTTGCTGATAGTCGATATACCCTCGTAGGTACTGTTCCAGTATTGAATTTACTCTCTCGGTCTGTCCATCGGTGCGTTGGTGGTAGGCGGTAGAAAGCTTCTGATTGATCCCCAGAGACTTGAACATGGTGGAAACGAAGGCTGAAGTGAAGGTGGCGCCTCTGTCAGAAACAATGTCATCCGGGAGACCGTGGGCTGAAAATACGCGTTCTAGGAACAAACAGACCGTATCCTGTGCATTGATGTTGTCGTAGGTGGGGACAAAGTGTGCCATCTTGGTGAATCGGTCCACAAAAACACAGATTGCCGTATAGCCGTTTGAGGGGGGGAGTTGGGTGATGAAATCCATCGATACTGAGGTCCAGGGGCGATCGGGTACAGGCAGGGGTTGTAAAAGTCCATAAGGCTTGTGAGTGGATGACTTTGTCCGTTGGCAGGTGTCACAACCGTTGATGTAATCCTTGATGTAACGCCACATGGAAGGCCAGTAAAAGGTTCGACTGACAAGGTCTGAGGTTTTGGTAATTCCAAAATGACCGGCGGTTGGGGCGTCGTGACATTCTTGAAGGATTTGTTTCTTGAGTTCGGGATCGTCGGGGACGCAGACAAGGCCATCCCGCAGGAGTAGCCCATCTTGAATTGAGTACTGGGCATTGTCCGAGTTCGACTTTGCGGTCTTGGCGAGTATTGGACCAAAGTATAGATCATCGGGGATTAGTGTCTTGATTTTTTCCTGGATCGCTGGCGTCTCTGGTTGCAGTGACCGGGCCTGGATGGTGTTCAGAATCTGGATCGGCGGTAGGAGGGTCATCTCGGTCTTGCCGTGCTGGGCCGCACCTCCCTCTCCAGGGTTGTCCCGCCGGGACAAAGCATCGGCAGCGGCATTCTGGGAGCCAGGGCGGTAATGGATGGTAAAGTTGTAGTCAGACAAGATTTCAGACCAGCGGACTTGACGGCGGCTCAATTGGCGCGTGGTGGTAAAGTACTCAAGATTTCTGTGGTCGGTGATGACTTCCGTGGTAGCGGGCGAGAATTCCAGGTAGTGTCGCCAATGTTTAAAGGCAGACACAATGGCAAGGAGTTCTTTGTCGTAGATCTGATAGTTGAGTTCAGCAGGCAATAGTTTTCGGGAGTAGTAAGCGATAGGATGTAGGCGTCCATCTTGGTCACGCTGACTGCAGACAGCGCCGAGGGCCTTGTCAGAAGCGTCAGTTTCAATGATGCAGGGGCGATCTGGTTGGAAATGCCGAAGGACGGGGCCAGACATGAAGCGTGACTTGAGCTCCGTGAAAGCGGCTTGTGCGATAGCGGTCCAGACAAAGTTAGTATTTTTCTTGAGTAACGCGGTGAGAGGCGCGGCGATATGGGAGTATTTCCGTACAAAACGACGGTAGAAGTTGGAGAAACCCAGAAAGCACTGGACATCCGAAACGGAAGAGGGAGTGGGCCAATCGCGAATGGCGGCAACCTTGGCGGGGTCCATAGAAATACCGTCAGTTCCGATCACAAAGCCGAGGAATTCGACTTTGTCCTTGTCGAACGAGCATTTCTCGAGTTTTAAGCATAGACCAGCGTCTTGGAGCTTGCTGAGAACTTTGCGGACATGCGCGGTATGTTCCTCAAGGGTGTCGGAGTAGATGAGAATGTCGTCAATGTATAGCACGACAAAGTCATCTAGGTAATCGCGGAGGACGTCGTTGGCGAAAGCTTGGAAAGTTCCGGGAGCGTTCATTAGTCCGAAGGGCATGACTGTATACTCGAAGTGGCCATAGCGGCAGCGGAATGCAGTCTTCCATTCGTCGCCCTCCTTGATGCGGAGAAGATTGTATGCTCCTCGCATGTCGAGCTTGGTGAAATACTTGGCTTTGCCTAGTCGGTCGAAAGTTTCGGAGATCAGTGGCAGAGGGCATCGATTGGGGACAGTCACCTTGTTGAGGCCTCGATAGTCGACACAGAGGCGGAGAGAACCGTCTTTCTTTTTAACAAAAAGGACGGGGGCGCCAGCTGGAGACTCGGATCGACGGATGAACCCTTTTGCAAGGTTTTCTTGAATATATTCGCGTAGAACTTGCAGTTCCGTTTGTGATAGGTTGTACACTGGTCCAAATGGCACGGTGGCTCCTTCGACCACAGGGATATTGTGATCATAGGGTCGATGTGGCGGTAGCTTGTCGGCTTGCATCTTGGAGAATACCTGAGCATATTCGGCATATTTCTCGGGCAGTTGGACTGTGGGTTTTGATTCAGGGATAGAGGAGGCCTTTCAAGTCCAAATTATCATATGGTGTTTGTTACATCTCTGCAGATCTTGACGATATCCACCGCGTCCATTAGAGGAGAATGTATATATGATACCAAGCATATAAGACAACCATTGTAACATTTTTTGTTTAACTATCCTACTAAACACCAACCTATTCTCCAAACAACAAAGTCTTCTTATTTTTCGCACACCAAACTCTTGAATATGTCCATCTACTATTAACCTGTAACCCTCACTGCAAGATTCGACAGAGTAGTTCTTGTATGTGATCATCTAAAGCACTTGTATTCTCAACTGTATCTTTGTCGTGAAATACAGGGGAGAGATTACATTTTAAAAATTCTTGTGCTGTCTATTGCTATTTTATTCTGTGTTCTGTTGCCCACTATGAAGAGATATGCCAGTTATGGAAGTCAACACTCCGTTCCTTGGACTTTGGATATTTTTTATATGCCTTTTTATATCCTCTGCACATGAAGGGGCCGCTACCGAATAAAATATAAAAATATATTTGTATTCTCAACTATGTGCTTGCTGTATGATAGATACCATCCTACATGCTGTTGTGTATACAGTTAAGTATAAGCCTTTTTAAAAAATTGTTATTGTTGGTTAACGTCATGACAATCCAATACATAAATATTATTATGGATCTAACAAAACACTTCCAACAACTGCTTGATGACCATTGGACTTTCCTCAACGCTGGATGGCCAACAATTACACCACGTAATAATCATCGTACTGTAAGCAAGGAAATTGGGTATATGCCAGAAATAAAAGAAACCCTAAATCGACGCCTTGGTCCTATTCCAGTGTACTTCTTTCTTGTTGACATCTGGCCAAAGGTTAAGTATCCTGGTCCATACAAAGAAGTGGAGAAAGGTCTTTTAATGCTCTATCATCTTGTCAAAGGACTGTCTATGGAAGCATTGGAACCACACATGCCAAAAAGTAGTTTTCATGCAATGCACTCTGTGTTTTATAAGAAAGAATATACTTTGCACAACAAGTACATCACCAACTGTATTGCAACAATGTTCTCCACAATTAAAATACGCCTTTTGTCTGCAAAGGAAAAGAATCCTCCATTATTTAAGCATGTTACATTGCATCTTGATGGTCATGATACAAGAGCAACATACAAAGGTGAGAGTAGTGCTGATATGTACTCTTACAAGCTGAAAAAGTCAGGATTACGCACACAGGTAGCAATGGATTGTAATGGCATGGCTTTATTTGTCTCCAAATCTGCATCTTGCAAGAACAATGCTGATGGAACAATGCTGCTAACGATGAAGTTGGACAAGAGAGTGCATGAGATGGATTGCATTGCTCTCGATGGAGGGTATCCACAGTTCTTAAGGAGGCTTATAGATGAGTCTGATACTCTTAAACTCCAAAATTTCGCTCATCCATACCGTAAACAGAAGAACAAGGAACTTACACAGGAAGAAGCGTTATACAATACCACCTTTGGTAGTTTCCGCTCGCAGATGGAATCTCTGTTTGCAGACCTTGGTTCCACATTTGAGAAACACAACAACCGTACTCCTGTGTTGGTGGATAAGAAACAAACATATAATTTGCAGTTGAAGTTATCTTTGTTACTCTTAAACATGAAAAAGATGGTTGCTTTGTTGAAGATTTCTGCAGAACCAATTCATACAGCTTGGCTTCGCGAAGGATTCGAGTATCCGACAACAGAGAACGAC